GTGATACAGGCACAAAATATTCTCGCTGTTTGTCGTTTGTAGGCCGATGTCTTACTTTTGACACATTGGGTTTAGGCTGTGTATATTATTACACACATCCCAACTTTTGCATGGGGTCTATTTCTGTGTATTTTCCCCCTCTCATCTCAGAGGAGGTGTCAGTTGTCATCCACGCAACGCAGAAATGAATCACGGCAAAACGCCGTCAGCAGCTTCCCTAGTCACTTCATTTGGCGCTCAGAACAGCAAGTGGAGTGCCGAGCAACATGCTGAGTAGACAAGACCTGACTCTCTGAATGTTTGATCTCTGATTTTTCTGCAGCTGGTTCAGAGCAACTTTGTCCTCTTCTGCACTTATGCCGCCGACCTGAGGGATCACTTCCAGAATATTGTGCTGACCATCCTGGTGAGAACAGCTCTTATCACTGATGCACCTCACAAATATAAAGATTTAAGATAAAACCTGTCTGTAAGATACATTTGTTATGACAGTTTTTCCCCTGGGACACTCTTTGATTTATATAGAGGCACAACAGTTTTCTTTTTTTGGGGGGGGGGGGGGGGAGGGGGGATTTTCAACAGAGAAAACACTTTCCTCATTGCTATTCACATTTTGCAAAGTCTTTGATGGCCCCCAAAGGACCCATAAAAAGGTCATCATTTTGCCTTTTACTGTTTGTCTGTAAGATACATTTGTTATGACAGTTTTTCCCCTGGGACACTCTTTGATTTATATAGAGGCACAACAGTTTTCTTTTTTGGGGGGGGGGGAGGGGGGGATTTTCAACAGAGAAAACACTTTCCTCATTGCTATTCACATTTTGCAAAGTCTTTGATGGCCCCCAAAGGACCCATAAAAAGGTCATCATTTTGCCTTTTACTGTTTTTTTTTCCAAACACACTTCGTAGACTGTATGACATTTAAAACCTTTCTTTGTAACTATGCATCATACATTTACATTTACGTGTGTTCACCCAGGTTTCTGCAGTGATAAGCATCCCATTGTGGCATTGGTTTTTGCAGAGGTTTGGGAAGAAGACGGCAGCTTTTTGCGGCATCACAGTGAGTGTTCTGTTTTTATTTTGGTTCGCCAGAGCAGCCTTTTTAACATTGACCGTTTACACTTTGATGTTTGTGCCATCTTGTGGCTCGTAATGTTATTGTTTAAATCTCAGAAATACTGACTTTTTTTTTACGACTCTTTCTCCCTCCCTTCAGTGGATCATGCCCTTCACCATGATGCTGGTCTTTATCCCAAATGTTGTGGTGGCCTACGTTGTGGCTGTCTCCTCTGGACTAAGTGTGGCGGCCTCGCTCCTGCTGCCATGGTAACGCTTCAACACATCATATCACACCTTAAGCAGACGAGGGGGAACCTTTCTTGGCCGTATTTTATTAGGGTTATAAAAAGGTCTAAATATTTGAGCTCTGGCCACCATCAGCCTTAAAAGTGGAATCATCTAATATAAGATCACATGAATCAAGTCTCTTCTTCTTCTGTGGTGCCTCAGTTTCCTCAAATGGTAAAAAAAAATGGGTAACTTAGAAGGTAGAATGGCAACTCTGTGTTGCTTTATGGATATACAAATATAAGATCGTCCGTCTGCGTCAACCCCATTTTGGGACTGTGAGCTACCTAAGTTTATTTTGGAAGAGCCCCCTCTGATCAGATTATTTATTCATATCCTTAAAGTTTTTGAAAATCCACTGAGCTTCTGATGTTGTTTATTCAGTTGCAGTGCTGTTATATGTCTGTCTGTGCTGCTCATGTTGGTTCCTTTTGCTTTAATGCAAAGCGTCATTAGTTAAACCACAATATTGCACCAACATGCTTTTAGTGGTGACTTGGTTCCTAGAAGGCCTGGTCCATTTCCTTCAGGTCATGTAACGGTCATATTAGTGATGTCATTTTGATGAATTAGAGGCAGCATCTACTTTAAATCTTCTCCACCATCACGGAGCTTACACAGCGCCAGAGGTAAAGCAATCTTCCTCTAACTGTATGTTTTCCAGACGTTACTATGGACACCGTCTCCTCACTCTTCCCTTGGCCCCTCCCCTAAACCCCAAATTACAGGGGCCTCATGTGGGGGCCTGTTTATTTTGGAAGGGGACAATTGTTTATCCTGTCTGTGGTCCGAGACCTGCTGCTCGTCATCTAATCGTGTTATTAGCTCTGTAATTTCAGCCCACTGCTTTATCAGAGCACTATAAATAAGAAGACCTCACATCATCAGCTGCAACCAGCTTGACTGGTTGAGTAAGATGATCAAAGTTTGTATCGTATCGTCAAAGTGAGAGCATGAGGGAGGTCCCACACATCAGCTTCAAATTTCACCAAGTCTTTGTGTGATGTTGAGTATCAAGACAAACGCTAAATTCTCTCCTGCAAATATTGGAAAAAAAAACCCAGAATGTTTTGCATTAAACTCTTTATGTGTGTTTTTGTGTGTGCATCTCAGGTCAATGCTGCCAGATGTCGTGGATGACTTCAGACTGGCAAACCCCTACTGTAAGGGTCATGAGGCCATCTTCTACTCCTTCTACGTGTTTTTCACCAAGTTTGCTTCCGGCATCTCTCTTGGAGTTTCCACCCTCTGTCTGGAGTAAGTCTACACTGACCGTATTCACATGGCGGCCATTTTCATCTGACGTCAAGTTGAGGGAGGAAAGCTCAAACCCCGTTTTGATATCAAACTGCAGTCTTATAGGATATAAATCATATAAATGTGGAATATCTAAGAGAATATAAAACGTATCATTACAATGCTTTTACATTGAGGACACCCTGAAAAGACAATTGATAGTGAAACTGTTGAGCGTTAAAGGCCTTAAAGACTTCAGACAACATATTTAAAAACACATAAGCCTGTCTACAGTTAGTCAACAGCTTTTTCTGCAGGGCCGCTCCATAGGTAATATGTTCAAGTACCGAATGGCTAACGTCATTTCAGCTAATAAGTGGATGGTTGCTAACATAGCTGTTGTGTAACTACTACGATGGAGGCAGAGTAGGTGTTTCAAGCACAACTTCACCAACTTCCAAGGTGCATGGAGAGTGAACGGCCTTCATCAGGATTGTCCTCGATGAAGGCCACAAGCCAGAACATGTCAGTCTTAGAACGTTAACATAGTTAACATTTGGACCTCTTTGTGGAACTACCGACTACAATCAAATTAGTTAGTTCGTTTTTGTTTTTTAAATGTCACTGACCTACTACCTGGAATACAGTAAATTCATATTATTAAGCTTTTCACCCTTATGATGACATCAGAAGAAATGGCAGCTGTGAGAATTTGTTAAAGGTGTTGGGTTGTCATTTGCATCATAAGACTGTGTTAAATGGGACATGTGTGTGTGTGTTTAGATTCGCAGGGTATGACACCGGCGCCTGCAAGCAGCCAGCTCCTGTTGTGTACACCCTGAAGCTGCTGATAGGTGCTGCCCCGGTGGCCTTCATCGTTACGGGGTTAATGATCCTACTGCTCTATCCTATCAGCGAAGATGTGCGGCTCAGGAATAAAGTCTGCCTGGATGAGCTAAGGTGAGTGGATATCATAAAAAGCACACCTCAGAACAAAATGTTAGCCGATGAGGTTTTAAAAGGAGTATTTCTCAGCCTGTAAACACAGTCATAAATATTGAGTAGATGGGATGCTAATGACATCATCGTGGTTATTTTTCTAAAACCCTGATGATTTCCTTTTGAACCTCGGCTGTGCACTTTTAACAGTAACTCTGCATATTAAAAAATGTGTTTAAAAGGTTGGCGATAAGAAGTACTACAGGTCTCATAAAAATATCCTTGTACTGTATATCTAGGCCCAATCTGGTTTAAATTTGTTTCTTATTTTGTGAAGTGGAAGTGCATCACTAAATTGCAAAAGCCCTTAGGCTATACCTTTTATAGGCTGATTGGCTACTCTTTTTAACCACTTTGTGTAACAAATCAAAGATTCAACTGAAAGAGATGTCATGATGTCAGTTGTGACAGTATGAGAAATGTTTTCATCACCTCCCACTGAACATATACCTGAACACTAGCACAAACTGTTTGAAGCCAGCATACTCTACTATTACGCAAACAATGCTATTAAAATGTTAAACTTTTATCGAATGGTGGACGAAGTATTGAAGCCATTACTTTAAGTAAAATAGTCGTTCTAGGGTGTAAAAATAGAACCTCATAAGTACATGTCCTGGATTCTCAAACTATACTGAATGACATTTATAGATAAACAATGAGCAACATTAACACGGAGTATTAAGACTAACTATATGTACACTATTTTGGATCATTATCATTAAAATTACAAATATGTTAGAAGAATTTAAATGTAGCATTGGCTCAAGTTTGGGCTCATTTTAACTGCTTTATGTTGATGAATAGTAGAAATGCAAAATTATTTATCATTATATCATAATGTGTTTTGAATGAGGTATCTTGTAAAAAATCCCAATGTGTAGCTGAAATAAATAAAAAATTCTTAGTAGTTTTCAAGCTTGTACTTCGGTATAGTGAATTAGTTATGTGTTCTTTGTCATTTTCAACCACATTAATGGTACTCATATTTCCCACAGGAAACAAAGCATCAGCGCCAGAACAATGGAGGATTTGAATAGCGTGTGACCTGGACCTTGAGTGACCTCACAAAGCCACGTGTTCCAGCAGCGCCGCTGGAAAGTTGTTCATTAGTGTATATTACACTGATAAAAAAATTATAGTTTTAATGTAAACATTTTTTGTTTCATTTTCACATGTACTGTACAGTCATCTTGGACATAAAAAAGTATAAAAAGATTACTTAATTTATATAAATGAATGTATATCATTATTTGCTGTGTTTAACTCTGCAACTCTGTTATTTATTGATGATATGATGGTTACAGAGGGCTGATAGTATGAAATAAATGTTGTAGAGGTTGGTTGGCAGACCGAATAAATGTGTGCAGTGTTTTTATTTCTGAAGTCAAACAAGTAAAACAAAAAACTACAGGCACTATTTATGCAAATTTAATTTTCAAAAAGGATACCAAGATAAGTCATTTGAAAGACAACACACTTTCATGCTACTTTGGTCTTCAACAAAGCGCTGAACAACTGAATGCCAATGAGTCTCGCCCCCTCTAGTGGCCAGTTGTGCAACCACGCTTCGTAACAGTCTCTCAGAGGTAAAAGTGCTTCAAATGTGTTCTCTTCAACATCTTAGATATGCTATATATTTGCCGACTATTCATCCTGAAAGTGCTCATCAAGACATTTTGTGAGTGAAATCTGATGACATACACCCAATTTCAAGTGTGAAGATACCTGCACTCTTCAGATAACTAACAACAGAAGAGCAAAACATTCCCCTCGTACGTCATTGTCCCAGGACGTACAAAATGTATCTGAGAAACCTCAAACATAAGCTAAGCTTTTGGTAGCAGGACATGGCACTATAATAAATAGACTGCATGGAACTGACTGCATCTTGACAACATCAAATGAACGGAAAAGACGAGGATGGCATCAGCAACTCAGACTCCTGTCAGTTGAGCTAGCATGACAAAGTAGAACATGTCAATATTAATTGTAAATGGAGTGCCCTTTTAAAATCATGGTTGTATTTCATTACAAAAATAAATCTGTGTCTGCATTAGTGAGGTTCTACATGTTTACACCATATCTGCGGGATATCCTTGCACACTAGGCTCCAGTCAAATATAATGAAGTAACATAGATACACCCGGCACGAGTCCATAAACGGATGTGTATGTAAAGAGGCATTAAGTGGAGGCCTCCACGGTATTATGGTGGATTTGTCCCGGAGCCGGACTTGGTGGGCAGGAGCTCTCAGGAGTCCGTATGTTAGTTTTCCTTTTCCCGTTCCGAACTGTGAGTTCCTCTTTGGGCTTGAACGCCAGAGGCACAAAGCCGTCTGCATCCGCCACAAGTACAATCCACAAAGGACCTGGAAAACAAACAAACAAAAATGTCTTAGAATTATTTTTTTGAAATCCATCTGTTATTAATAATTTACTACACAATGAAGTGTGAGCCTTGTAAGGTATGTTACTGGTCCCGTCAGTTTAGGAGGAACAGTGTCGGCTACAGCAACAACTAACTCTGTGCACAGTCAATAGAAGTAAGCTGCTTTTGTTTAAAGCCGGTAATCTGACCAAGGCTTTTAATCAGGTCTAATTATAGTTCACGCATGTTAACAGAAGAATACTGATAGAATCAGATGTTGCCTGAGATTGTACCCCAACAAAAGTAGATCCTTCATAAGATAACTGGAAACTGGAAACGATTAAAGATGCTAAAAAGAGATTTGTTTAGAGAGTTCAACTCTGATTGCATAAAGTATGGGAGTATCAGCCGGGGAATCTCGTCACACTCCAGCTGAAAATACTCACAGGGGGGGGAAGACCTTTCAACCTTAAGACGCCTAAGTGGAGTTTCCTGAAAGTGCTTTTGATTTATTAACCCTGTACGCTCTGTAGCACGGCACGGATTATCCGACAGGTGACGCGTCGCGGAAGGTTCTAAGAAGATTAGATAATGCTTTGTAGGCGAAGACAAACCACTTTCAAAGGTTAAGATGCACTTAAGACACGAGAGAGAGACAGTCTTAAAAGATAAAGAGTTTGCTATTTGAATGTTTGAGGAACAAATTGTTGTTGGTTTTTTTTTATTCATGAACATGACAGACTGAACCTACCATACATCATCTCCACAATAGTAAGATTGAAGAGTTCCTGGAGGGCTCGCAGACACAGCTTCCCGTCACACAGCAGCACTGGCCTCCGTTCATCGATGAACACGTTTTCTGATAACTGCTTCTGCATATGCACAAAGAAGGGACAGAGGCAACAAAGGGAAAAGCCATCATCAGAGATCAATCTAATAATTCAAGACGAAAACAGCATCATACAACAGGTTCAGGTTTTCTAGATGCCTTAAAATGAGGAGAGCTGTACCTGACATGTCACATTGACATAGGGGGGTTCAGAGGCATGAGGGTAAACACTCGGGGCCTTCTTCCCATTCGGCGTGTAATCTTTGATTTCTGCCAGGCACTGCTGTACGTCTGCGAAGCGATTAAAAAGCCTCTCCATGTTAAGGACGAGCTGCTCCAGTGCGCGGTCCCTGACGGGACCTGAAGTCTTGTCCGGCATCGGCAGTGTGGCCTCAGAGTGAAGCTTCTCCGACAGCTCCAGGCGAGGCGACCCGGCCCGGCTGGAGTCCCTGCTGGACTGGCCGGCGACGGCCAGGCTGCTCATGCGGTTGACGTGGTCCATGTCGAAGTTCTCCACTGTGACAGAGGAGGCACTGGAAGTAGCTCGGTCTGACGCTCGGTCAGAGAAGTCCACAGAGCTGGTGACGGGGCTTGGCTCACCGCTTCTAAACTCCTCAACGAGCCTGCGTCTGTTTGCTGGCGAACGAATTACTCCCCCTCCAGGCAACACCAAATCCTTTATCCCTGTTCGCTCCCTGTCGTCCTTTGACAGGTTCTCCGAATGCCTCCTAATCCTTGGGGTGAAATTAGTAGTAGAGTCGTGATTGTGAGGAGATGGCGAAGTTGGGATGGGGGTCTCTCCGTCGTAGATCAACTCTTTAGCTGTGAGACGAAGAATGTATTTATCTGTGTTAGAAGAGGGAAGAAAGGCAGGGTCATTGGACTTCTGCTTGCCCACCATCAGCAGCAGCATCTTGTCATTGAGGAAGCAGACCCCTTTAGGTCTCTCGTTGGCCTGCAGAGAGATCTGCTGGATGTTGGGCATGGTGGAGGCTGTGATGCAGTACACAAGCACCATGTTGCAGGTGTTTGAGGCCACTGCTACCGTGGAGCCACGTGGGTCAAAAGCTACAATGTCTGGGACCAAAATCCCGGGGATACTGACTTTGCGAGTGGTGGTGACTTTCCGCTCATAGGTCACCAGGATGAGGTGCGAGGAGTCCTGGCCCGAGCCCGTCACAGTGTCTCTGCGACGCAGGTTAATAAGGGGGCTGGGGTCGGAGCGGCGGTGCCTGGCCAAGAGGTGGGTTAGATCCAGAGGGCCTGAGCTGGGTATGTAAGACCGCTCCGATTCGGAAGACCTTCTTTTTGGGTGAAAGACGCTGTCGTCCTCTGACATGGCCACATGGGCCCCGTGGGACTCAGCCTCTGAGGGCATGTCGAAGGCAATGCCCGCATTTAACCCGCAGATTTTATCCAGAGGCAGCTCTGTCGCCACGGCTACCTGAGCTTCCCCCGTTGCCTCGATGGCACAGATGTAGCCTCCCACGTCAAAGATGGGGCAGAAGGAGCAGGCCACCAGACTCTTCTGGATGTCATTCCAGATGTAAGAGTGGAGCGCACTGCCCATAGCCACCACCAGGCGAGTACCATCCTTAGTCCAGCATGCACAGTGGATCAGTCCGCTACCTTTGATGTCTGCTTTGGTCCTCCTGTTGTCCACACGCACAGAAAACAGCACAGAGGTGTCCCTCTTGGTCAGAACAGCAAGATGTCCAGTTTGGGATGCCACACACAGCCTTGGGAGAGCAAGGGGAAGGGCTCACTCATCTCACAGGTCTGCGTGCAGAGCAGCTTGTTCTGCTCGAGGGCGCTGAGCTGCAGCTGCCACACAGTGACGTGCTTCTTGTGCTGAACAGCAAGTAACGCAGGGGAGTCCGAGCAGCACAGCGGACCCCAGAAAAGCCCAAAGACGTGCTCAAACTGGCCGATAACGTTGGTGTCTCCAAACGTGACCTCCCCGTTCTGGAAGTAGAGGGACGTGAGGCAGACCTGCTTGCCGTCCGTCCATGCTATCCCGTGCACAGGGTGGATGGCCTTGGTGTAGGGTGTTCAGACCTGTCCTGAGCAGCTTCGCCTTGCCAAGATCCATCCTGGCTGACAGGTATGAGGATGCTTGTTAGATTTAAAAAAAAAAAAAAAAAGAAGAAGAATTAGAGAGTAAACATTCATGCATAGACTTGTGTCCGATCTGAAAGGGTCCTGCACAGGAGCAGCTAGTGCTACCCACGCAGATTAAGAATAGCAAAACCCTCTGCCGTGTCTCCTTCCAAGTACATGCTTTAATCCCTTCTGCCTGAGCTGAGGCAGTAGTGACGAACACTTATAGCTGCTTACGTCTGAATGACCTGAGCTACACACAGGTCCTGTTGGGCCATCAGCGCATTAATAGAACTATGCGTGGAGCAGGAGCATCTCCACACTAACAGCATTAACTCTTACAGACCTGCAGAGGCTGTCATGATTTGTTCAGGCGACTTTGTCAAATATAGATTTTGTTTCTCATTAAATTTTGACATGTCCAGATAATTGATAATTGTATAAAGCGTTATCCTGTGACGCTTTGAAACTTTCATCCCTCCTTTCAAAGCCACTTTCTATTATAGTTGAATTGTCAAATACTTTTAATTTACAATGTGATGCAGGATTAATTTCATAGCAGCACACATTCTTTAAAAAAGGTAGCTATCTAAATTATAGCAACTATATGGAGAGGTAGTATAGAATAACAGAATGCCTTATAATATATCTACTGCCTTACATTACATATAACATGACGTTAAAATAACTCAACATTAGCCATTATTGTCCGATTCTTGACTCAAATCCAGCGTTATTTCACTTAAAAGTTGGTTATCATCGAACTAACAACTATTCATCATACTTTACTCATACCTTATTCACCCACAAGCATCGCCTGTGTGGTTCGTGTAGTTCAGTTCAAGTCAGTTTCCAAAGTGAAAATCAGAGACTGTAAAAAAATGCACGTTTCCCCAGTTGAAATGATCCTTCATCTGCAAATTGACCCGGAAACAAAACAAACCCTCGTGGTGCATTATGGGATATGAAGTCCAAGTGTAGTCACCTGTTTTTTTTTGCCCCCTTTCCCGCCTGAGGGCGCTGCGTGTGCTTTTGCAAAACACTTAGTGCTGCTAAACAAACGAAATATTTTATGTTTTAAAGAATAAATAATAATCATCATAATCATAATAATAATAATATGTTATAAAGAATAAATATATCCAAAGAAAAGAGAGATTATTGCGCTCACGTAAAACTGAGCATATCCTCTATGCAATGCAAGTGTAAACCACAGCTGTAAACCGAGGCTGAAGACGACGTACGTGTTGTAGTTGTAGATCTCAACGACGTCTCTCCACAAAGTAGAGAATATCTTTGCTGTAGCTGCGGGTCTGGTGGTGGTCTGTGAATTCATGGTTTCTACCGATAGAGCCCGACTTGTAGCCACTAAACGGGTGACACTGGCTGTCAAATCGACTCCATAGGCTGCATGTTTCAGAGCTGATCTTTGCAGTAGCACGACCATGGGTGTGGAAGTCGAGACTATATCTCCCGGTGATGGTAAGTTGATTTATCCGCCTGAATGTGCTTTGACGCGGGGGTGGCTGCAGTGGGGTTTGGGGTTCGGTGGTTCCTCGTTCAAATGTTGGTTAATATTAACTAAATGTGCATAAAAGTAAGAGTCCGGTGATGTGGGAGGTGAAGTAGTGTACTCGTCAGATAGATGGCACACAGTTGAAGTATTCGGGGTTGTAGGTAGGAGTCTGTAAAGCCTGTATGTTCACTGTGGATCTTTCTAGAACTCCTCACATTGATGATAATGTGAGATGGGATCAGTCACTTTAAATTAAGAAATGGCTCACAAGGTAACTGAGATTTGGCATGCAGGAAGGGGGTAGACATGTAAAGCTCCTCAAGGCTTTAATCTCTCTGTCTAACGTACTGATAACGTAATGAAGCCGGAGGTATCTGATAGCCCCTCACCCTGCACAAAAAAGCCTGCAGGCTGAAGTTTCAACATGAGGATGAGACTAACAGACAACATATCTCACCTCTAAATGTCTGCACGCATGAGGAAAACAATTGCATGTCTGCCAGGAACACCTCACCAGACTAATTGTTAATACTAGATTAGCCTTAGAGTCTCCCAGTCGTCCAAACACACAATAACAATTGTTTTCTCTTTCTTCTTAACAGGAAGAACATTTCCAAAGAAGGGCCAGACATGTGTTGTTCATTACATAGGTAACGTACTCTTTCTTTGCACACCAGACGTCATGTCTGTCTCCTTGTCTAGAGAGAGGAAATTTGTCCCTAAATTTGTGTGTGTGTGTGTGTGTGTGTGTGTGTGTGCGTGTGTGTGTGTGTGTGTTATTGTTTTTTTTCTCCCTTGACAATCTCTGGTGCACAGCAGGGATCAGTTTGCAGCCCAGCTCGCTTCGTGTGCACAGTCTGCCAGACATGTATGCACCTGTGTGTCGCTCACGGTTTCATAGAAGAAGGGTGGAGCTAGCACCACACCCAGAAAACATGATATTGTTGTTTTTTTTAACAAAGGAGAAAATTGGTGTCCTTTTTTGAGACTGTTGCAACTCTCACTATGCTAGGACTCACACACACACACACACACACACACACACACACACACACACCACACACGTCACACGTTCTTTCTTTTTCCTGTTTGTCTCCTGTCAGATTGCCCAATTTTGATGCAGGGCAGAAAGACGCTGAGATATTTGGGGAATAAATGTGGGTTATTTGCTGCCCCCGGGGTTGGCAGTCCAGACATCTAGGTCAGACAGAAAGTAAACAAAGCCTAGTTCGCATGTCATCTGACTGTCTGAGTATTACGGCGTTATTACACGGCTGTAAAAGTCACGGCTCGCTCTGTGGTTCAGGCTCAGTCGCAAACAGGTTTGACTGAAGTGTGCGAGTTATTGTTATTGTGTCTGTGCACACTGATGCGCACGCCTGCATGCTGAAGTCTGCAGCCAGTCGTTTGCTTGTCCAAGACGCTTGGTATTCCCTTCCCTTTTAAAAAAGAAAAAGCCTAGATCTGTTTTAAGGTATTATGTCATGGCTTCAGAGACATCTTTTTGCACAGCAAACACGCATAACCATGGTGGAATGTCGTGTTGGACTTTTTGGGACAGAGCAGAGGAAAAATGTAACAGATTTCCCTTTGAGCCTGATCTCTGCAGAGATCAGCGACAGTAGTAATGAATTGTGCTATATTTGGAGATGATTCATCTCAGCATGTGAGGCTGCTCTATTAAGATACGGAACATCCCAGTCTGGGACAGTCTTGCATAGTGAGGCCTTTTTTTTTTTTTTTTTTTAGTCTCTTCCCTTTTGTCTGCTGGTTGTTTCCCTCCACATCCCACATTATGTAGAAAGCACATTAGCAGAAGAGGTGATTGATTACATTTCATATCTCTATGGGTTTATATTTATTGATGAAGCACTGATAGTCCTTCCCTCCTTTATTGTCTCTGCTCCTTTGTTACATTTCTAATGCCTGTATTGTGCTGCTTATTCATAAAAAGGTTATTCATAAAAAAAAAACTTTTTACTTTTAAAGTAATCTGTAGCCTGGCATCGGCCCTTTAAGAGATTTCCTTTTCAAACACCCAGACAAGGTCCCTCGTGTTCCCTTTGTCTGAATCAGCCTGTGTCATTCTCTCCTTTTGGCTTTTCCTTTTTCACTCTCAGGATTTACCATTAAGCTCTTATTGGCACGGCTGGCACGCGAAGTTAAGCCAAAGCAAGGACCGTGCCCACTGAGCACAGCAAGAGCTTAAAGTATGTTATTGTATCAGCAGGGGAAATATGTTCACCGTGAGTCTATGGAAAAGAATGAATTGGTATTGAAGACTGGAGTTGTACACAGAGACAAGAATCCTGCTTTCTGAGGAAATAGAAGAATGTTGTAATAGTAGTATTACAGTTTGGCATGTAAGCACCTGTAAACAAGTGGCACATATCATTTTGAGCTTAAGAGGTATTCGTCGACTTATGTTGACCTTATCCAGCTTGTTCACCTGATGTAATTAAAAGACTCAGCAGACAAAGTATGGAGTATTCCCTTTAAGGTAGTGTAGTCGGCCAGTGTGGGTTCATTTTCCTGATCTTTGTATAAAAAGCTTAAGCAAATAAGAGGAATGTTTGCAATGCGTGCTGACTCCTCAGGTCAGTACGCTGCAGTTGAGCAGGGACTAACCCGTGTTTGTTTCATTCAAATGCTTAAATACAAGATTATTGGGGCGCGGTGTAGCTTAGCGGTTATGTCGCACGCCCCATGTACAGAAAGTCTCAAGCCGTTGGTTTGATCATGGGCTGCATGTCGTGCCCCCCCCCTTCATATTCCCAACATTTCCTGTCTTATCTAATGAAAACGAAAATGGCCCAAAATATATCTTTATGAAGAAATTATTTTAAGATCAATTAATAGGGATGTTGCTTGTAATGGAGGTAACTGCTAGCATGTAGAGCTAAAGACGACACCCTGCACTGACTGCACGCTGCACTGGTGTTAGCTTTCCAGATAGCAGAGCTAAGATAAACAGTGAAGGTATGGACAGAGTGACGTCCCAATCCATTATGGGATTTTGAGACCCACCCGCCCTCCCCCTCTCAGTTTCCAGCGTTTAACCGGAGCCTCATTCTCCTTCCCTCGCTGCGATGCCTTTTTGATCCTCACTTTCTCCTGCGGGATGTTAAACATGCAGACGTACACATGCCTCAGAGCACACTCAGACGTGTGAGTGACCCTCCTGTGACTCGCTGAAAGCCGCATTTGCCCAAATTAGCAGAGTGCTCATGACTGACAGGCAGGTAAGGGCTGCACAGAAGCAGCAGGACAAAAATAATGAGAAAAGCTGCACAGTGGTTCACACACGTCTATGTTTGCATCATGCCTGACTGAGAGTCTGCTCACATTGAACACTACGGAGCAGTGCTGCACACACTCAGCTGTGTTATATTCAGACTGAAGACACTGATTTTAGAGGGAGGAAACCTGTGTATCTATGACAGATAATTAGCCTTCTGAGGTACTGAACTTAGACA